GGCTGAACAAGAAAAATCACTTAAAAAGGACAACTATGGGGTTAGGGCTTTCCCCATAGTTCTCCTTAGGGTAACTGGAGGACACAAACTAGCTTCCCCCCGTCACCCTAAGCTCAGTATACCACAAGCTACAGCTCGCGGTATACTGAGACGCCGCAGCTGAAGCGGATCCCGACAATTATGTCTGGATCCGTCCAGCTGAGTGAGTGACAGCTGGCTCTGCTCAGCTATAGCCTGCGATATACTGAGCTTTGGGTCACTGGAGGACATTAGTATATGTCCTCCTGTGACCCTAAAGAGAACTATGGGATAAAAAAGTTAACCCATAGTTCGCTTTTAATTACCCCATCCATGCTATACAGCGTGGACAGGGGAATCCCTCCTGCCATGCTACTGTATTCTGACAACGGCAGGTATGCTGCTGCCAGGATACGCAGTGACTTCAGCTGATCACTGTTCAGCTGAGAATTTTCGGCCTTGATTTATGGTGCCCACAGGGCCATGCACTGCTCAAATGTGGAGTTAGCTGGACATGGCCAAAATTCAAGCAGTATATGGCCAGCTTTAGTAATAGGTAAATCCTAAATCTTTCATTATATTGGACCAAAACAAATCCTTTGTAAGGCCACCACAGACATTCATCTAAGAACATCTTCACCTACAGTTCACAGACAGTGCTGACCTTGCCTAATGGTATTTCGTGGTTGATTTACCATTTATAGCATTTCTAGTGTATTGTACTTCCTTCTGCAGACCCACAAGGAGAGAAGACAGTTCACTACTGCAGTCATCAGTTCATCAATAGGCTGCATGGTTATTGCATTTTGCATGTGTTTACTCTCCTAGGAATACAGAAGCAGACTAATGCTGCAAACACATTCATCCAGTTATTAAAGGTTTGCGCATAGATCGATCGAAAATAGTTTGACACTGCAACTGATCATCTCTACAGAAAATATATTCTGCTTACCTAGGTGAAATGTATTACTGAGAACCCATTGTCAGTATCAAGGGAATCTTGCACCCATGTCTTAGAAAAACAGGTTGGTTAATGGGAGCATTTATGCCTATATGCTACATTAGTCAGACATTGGAAAGGGCCTGAGAGACTTAGACATACACTACAGACAAACCTGTCACATTTAAAGCCCGCTAGCCAGCTTGTCTTTTTTATATATTAATATATTTTTCCTCCTTCCTGGTCCAGTGCCAGACCGCTTGCAGGTTGAAATGACTCCAAGCATCATTCAATCCACTTCCTGTGAGCCCTGAGTATAAAGGACAACTCTGGGGGCGCATCATCAAGTCGCCATGGGTTCACAGGATAATACTGCAGATAACAAAGCCATGCCATTAACATTGTCACATTACATTATTATTAAAGAAGAACTCCGGGTAAACATTTAATTAACCCTTGCAGTAGGGTACCCCTGCGCTGCAAGAGCGAAGTGCTTCTTTTTGCCTAGGGTCAAAAATAACAGTTATACTCACCCGATCCTCCAAGTTGATTGCTCTTAGACCGGTTCATGGAGCTTCACTACCCCCTTCTGCTGCAGTGGTCTAAGGTCCTGTAAGTCATCACATTCTATACACTGTGTATAGGATGTGGGGACCCCAAGGGACATACCATCGCTGCACATTGCTTTACATATGGATAGCTACAAACAGAACAGCTAAAATAAAATTATAAATATTTTATATTTATATAAACATAACAAATCACAAATACACAAGATAGCTACACTGAGGGAGATACAGTATGTGCTGTTATTCCTGTGGAAGTAAAACAGTGAATTGAAGTTACTGATCGCATATCATTTGACACAACAAGTCAATTTTTCCACTTCGATTTCAGGTTAAAAAATGAGATCCAGTCACATAGCCTCATTATATGGTTCCCATACCCTCAAGGAGTATGCAAACCCCTGACTAAGAACCCCTTTTTGTAGAGCTCACAGGACCTAGTGCAGTAGTCTTCAACATACTGGGTTATGGGGGCCCAAATGCAGCCCCTTAGATCTCCAAAGGACCACATATGCCCATATAATATTTATTATATGTAATGCTAAAGAAAACTGTGATAGACTGAAGACTTACCAGATGAAATGGTCAGAGATTGTTCTACAGGAATGGTTGAAAAATGAAGTCTTGTTGTAGGCGACAGTCAGAGACTAGGGACATGTTACATGAAACTGCTACAGATTACTGTTATTAAAGGCCACTTTACAAATCAATACTCCCATTACTGACAGCTGGGGCCCAAGGGTTGCACCTCAAGCAACAAAAGGCCGCATGTGGCACTCAGTTCACAGGTTGTACACCAGGGACCCAGTGCACAGTGTACTAAAGCGAAGTCTAAAGCGGATTATACACCAGTAGAATTTTCTTCATTTTTGGAACGTTCGTTTGCTTTTTGTGGTCCAGTACAAGTTCACAAGGGACAGAGCAGTCTGCAACAACTATCCATCTACTAGTTTGGAGAAGGGGGGGAATGGGGAGCAGGGATCCGGGTAGTGGCTTGCCTTGCTGTGCCTGTGTATTTGTATTTGTGGAGACACCCTGTAAGGGAAAGGAGCCACCCTAAAGCAGAATATCAGGACCAGTGTTCAGGGTACCGGCTGCTTCTGCAGGAAGCTAAAACTTTTAAACATCAAGGAGCAGCATCCATTGTTTGCGATTTCTTATAAACCTTTTGACTTAAAAGGAGAACTATGAGGTGAGTGCTTTTCACTCACCTCAGTTCTAGCCGACCTGTGACAATGAGACTGTCACAGGTCGATAGCTTGCGGTATACTGAGCTTAGGGTGACGGGAGGACGCTAGTTTGTGTCCTCCCATTACCCTAAGGAGAACTATGGGGAAAAGCCCTGACTCCATAGTTCTTTAATATCATTTTAATAATAAAAATGCAGTAAACCTTAGCAGCCACCACACATAATCTGTCACCCGTCTGACTAGAGTAAACTTTGATAACTGGTGACTCTGACTTATTAAACTCAAATACATCATCATTCCTTCTATAAATAAGACCACAGATGCCTCAGTTACTTCTTATGAGGAACACAACCAATGTATCATCATGTCAAAACATGATCCAGGAGCCATGACCATGAATATAAAAATTCTAGACACCTCATCTACATCATGTATCCCTGGCCGTCACTGACACAGTGAAGGATGGAGACTTGACACATTGTTGTCTGCTACATCTTGTATTTGTTAAAGCTAAACTCTAAGGCCCCTTTCACACGGGTGGTACGATTGGGTCCGCCTGTCAGTTTTTCAGGCGGACCTGATCGGATGCCCAATGCTAGTTTATGGGCAGTCAGGTCTGAACACACGAGGGTTCGTTCACACCCGGACACCCCCGGCTCCGGCCAGGTCATTAAAACCAAAAAAGTTCTGTTTTCACTGGACCTGATTATGCTGGCTCGGGGGTAATCTGATGTAAACAGACACATGTCTGTTTGCATCCGACTCCCAATAGACTGACGTTGGGCCCGGCAGTTTTTGCTTCATTTAAATATACTCCTCAATAGTCAGAGAGGATAGAAATCCACTTAGGATGCACCAAGTGCCTTTGAATGTCCAGTTATTACCTTTGCTACACATAACCTGTGCAAAGGGCAGAGCTATAGGAGGGGCCTAGCTGGCCCCACCCACTACAAGTTGCCTGCAGAAAACTACAGGAGGGTCTGAGACCAGACCAATCACCCTGTACAAGGAGAGAGAGCAGCAGTTGCTGGTCTTTATTACAGGAAGATCCGGCACAGAGACAAAGTTTTCACACCGGATTGCTGCATAGATCAGGAAGAGATACACAAAGCACACCAAGACTGAAGAAAGAATAAACAAATCACATCATGCCTCTGCTTCTGGGAGTCATGCCCATGACTGCCAGAGTCTTGCAATGCCTCATGGGACTTGAAGTTCCACAACAGCTGGGGTGTCGGAGTTTGCCTACCCCTGATTTAGACAATATCTGCTTAACCTATCATCCACAATAGCAAATCCCTGAAGATAAATTTGAAGATTATCTACTTAATTTAAGAGACCAACTAATAAATTATATGTCACCCCCAAACAAATGACATTTAGTTTGCTATTGTAAAAAACAATTGTCATTTAAAAAAAAATAAAATACAGTTTTCATCCTTCTTATCCTTGGTTACAGAGAAGATGCAGGATTTCAGCAGCACTGAGATGCCATAACTTCCTGTCTACATGTACTCCAGGAAATGCTGTACATTATTTCTCAGGGAGAGTTTGTTAATGGTGACAACATTGGAACAGGGCTGTGCAGTGTAAATCAACACAAGCAATTGCAGTCTCCATTGGCAGGGTGTAGGGTGACAACGCCGGGTAATTTTTCAGACAAGGACAGAGCGTTGTCACTTTACGTCTGGAGTTTAGCTTTAAAAATACGGGAGCAGACAGGCAAATCATTCCTTTATGTCACCAAAGAACAACAAGACAACACAAAATGAACTGTTCATACAGTACAGATAAGACTGAATACAAAGAGCAATAAATCCCCTCCAGGTAAAGGGAGCCAAAAAGACCCCTCCAGGTAAAGGGAGCCAAAAAGACCCCTCCAGGTAAAGGGAGCCAAAAAGACCCCTCCAGGTAAAGGGAGCCAAAAAGACCCCTCCAGGTAAAGGGAGCCAAAAAAACCCCTCCAGCTAAAGAGAGCCAAGAAAACCCCTCCAGCTAAAGCGAGCCAAAAAGACCCCTCCAGGTAAAGGGAGCCAAAAAGACCCCTCCAGGTAAAGGGAGCCAAAAAGACCCCTCCAGGTAAAGGGAGCCAAAAAGACCCCTCCACAACCTACTGTGTATAAAATGTATCAACCGCCTTCTTAATACAACTAATCAGGGATTAATTACTCACTGTGTTAATGAATGAAGCTCAGATACAATACTACAAGTAACATTTCTACTTTTTGGCCCAACAATACAGCCCAGTGTTTATTAAATGCCTCCTCACACACAAGAGACCTTTACCTAGTCTTTTTTGCACATGCCAAGTGCGTTGTTCTGCTGGGATGGTCCTGCTACTTGGAAGACGTAGTTGGTAGAAATAGTTACATTCATGAGCTGGTTGTGCTGCCTTTCCTCAGGCACACTGCTAAGTTATCCAGTTAGTCAGCACTCGGCTCAGATGTCACTGCACTGTCACTGTGCCTGCCACTCCTGTGACCAGAAAACGCGTTGCAAAACATCTGCGAGAAGAGCTGAAGCCTATTTCTTAAAAGAACGTTACAATCAGCCACTAAAAACCAGATCGCAAAACCAGATGTACACTGCGAAAAAAAAAAAAATGTGGGTCATTAACCTGCTCCGCAAGTTTTTTTCTCACATTCCGGATATGCTATTATCAGGGTAAAAGCGGTTAGGACAAAAGAGGTCATGTGACCGAGAGCTCCCTCTAGATTGTAAGCTTGTGCAGGCAAGGCTCCCTCCTCTACTGCACAGGTTGTGCTATGCATTATTTTACACGTCATCTGATGTGCTTTTATATATAGGTGTTATTTCCATTTGTCCATATTATTACTGTGCATAACACCATAAG